ATATATATATATATATATATATATATATGTCATGTCATGTACAACATCTGAATCAGCTTAGTCGAACTTGAACTTGAAGGTGCAGTGTCAAGTTCGGAACGCAAATGGGCAAAGTCTCTCTGTCCCCGCAAACGTAAGGCTCTATTCCCGCCGCTCTCTCGCGTCGGGTCTTAGTTCCTCTCCAGGGGAGGAGCGCGGGCTCTTTTCCCCGAACAGCGGCTGGAAATCGAGCCTACGCACATCCTTGGTACGTGCAACATACTTTGTCTTCCATAGCTCTCTTCACAGCACTTGCACTGCGCCATCTGAAGGAAAACACAAATAAAGAATTGTAAACTAAAAAGAAAACTCATTCTGTTTAAAATTTAGGGACAATAACAAGCTTCTGTGCAAGAAAGAAAAAAAAATTTGCCCCTGTAGTTCATCTGAAACAGCACTTATCCATTCTTGTTTACACAAGGCTTGTTATATGCTGTGTGTGGTAACATGGATCAAGGTTACTTTAACACTTCTGGAAATGCAAAGGTACCACTGCCGCCCCCCACCCCCCATCCTCCAACAGTATTTTGTAGATGGCTTTGACAATACTCTAGGTTAGAGAGAGACACCGTCCGAGCAAAGCGTCTTGTCCCCGAACACAGTATTTAATCCAAATGACTGCAACTGGAGCCCAGTGCACAAACCATCAAACCATTACAGCTCCCTCTTGCAGACAAAAACTGACACACATGTATAGAAAGAGCTTCGCAATAGGTACGAAAACCAAGATTGCAAGAAGACATTTTACGTCTTTCTTGAAAAACAAGATGAATAATACATTACCTGCTATCAAACTCGTCTCTCTGGCCTCCAACATGGAGCATTAAGAGATCATAGATCTGTTAAGTGCAAACAAAATGACACAACAAGCCATTAAATTTACAGCTGTCCAGGCTGATATACTAGGAGCTTGCTATAAACATGCTTTATTATCTTGCAATAGAAAAATCATATGTTGAAACCAAAGAAATATCAACTAAAAAAAAATAATATGATCAAAACATTTAAAATTTCGCTAGAATGGTAATTTTGATTTTTTGACATACTGTCACAAAAACAAATTTTTTGATCTGTAGTCCTCTTCCATCTTTGTTATGTGTACCTCTTTCTCAATACACTTGTTCTATTTTGCTTTGTAGAATCTTTGTCTCTCTTTTTTGTGGCATTTGACAGGATATGGGAATTAGAACAGAGAACTCCAAGTCATTGTCCCTTTAAAAATATCGAAAATTACGTGGTATAGTCTTGTAAGCCACGATCTGCCATGCTATTCTCGGTTCTTTGCGCGAGGAGTGCTTTACTTTAAGATAAATAGTAGTCTGTGAGCAGGCTTACGTTGGAGCACAAGCGTGCGCTGCGAGCGCGAAATCCAGCGGCGAAGCCGCGAGACTAGAGTCCTTCCCGCTGGATCGCTTTGCTCTCCACTTGCGCGCGTAACTCAAATGCGAGCCCGCTCGTAGGCTAGACAAATGTCCGCGAACATTGATTGATTTGCCATTTAATGATTCGCTTGAAAATACTCAAACCTGAGTGCAGATTCCATTACAAAATTTGAAGTCATAATGGTAAAATAGCCGACAAATACAATCATGATAACCAATGTACAAACTTCTATTTGACAGCTTCAAATAGGAATTATTTTTCAACGAAAATCGATGGGAATTTCTACACAGCTGTCGGTTTTCTTAAAATTCTGTTACACGATTATCTCTGCAATTCTTCTGAGGAGTTATTCCATCACACTTAAGCCCTGACAGCAATTTTTTCCAAGTTTCACCACGACAGTTTCATGCACACAATCACCAGCGAGAGAAAAACACACGTTTCCTACCTTTAAAATTATCAAAAGAGCTTTAGTGTCATCCTCGTGATGACAAAGGAGATGATCTACAAGAAACAAAAAAATAATTGAATGTAGTTTACACACAAGTGCTCTGGGGACAAAAGTAATCTTTTCAGCTTCGCTCTGGGAAAGTACTTTTAAGTTAAGACACCTCCATTGTGTAGACCAGATTCAAGCTCCGTGTACACTAGTTCATTTCCGTCCACGCGTTTTCGGCGCCCTATTGTCGTCACTAGGGAGCTTAAGCAAACCACGACGGCAACAAGAACGCCACCAAACAAAAGGTTTAATGAGGAGAACAATGGCTGTGCACGTGTGTTATAAATCTTGTACATTTCGTAGCCGTTCTCTGCGAAACAAGAATGTGAAGTGACCAAGTTCTGTGTAGTTTGAAAAACGTGAGCCACGACGGCTAATTTTTTCGAATTTTCGTCTACAATTCTAAACTAGAATAAAAAAATCACGCTCTTGCATCAGATCCATCGTGCTCTCAACAACCGGGCTTCTCTCTTTCACAAAGCTGATGACAAAGTTCCTCGAAGTTCATTTCCCACGCTTTTCAATAAAATGCTCATTGCATTGATTACTTAATTAAGATCTGGCCGCAGTTGTTCGAAGGCTGAATAACGCTATCCAGTCCACCGGATAAATCGCTATCCAGTGGATAATTGTTAACAAAACAAACCTCGCTATCCGCTGGATAGTGATTTATTCGGTGGATAGCGCTATTCACCTTTCGAACAACCCGGGCCTGGAGGTACACTGCCTTACCTAACAGTCTGTGAATCAGCTCTGCTATCCGAGCTCGCGAGTTGTGTTCACCCATCGACACTTCTGAAATAGATAATAATACACTAGATGTTGAGTTGACTTCGTGTGCAAGTTGTGAAAGAATTGTACTGCAATTAAAAAGAACACTTAAATTGGCTGGGTCACACTCTGTGTCAACTAAATACCAACACCACCAAGCAGGCCTTGAGATGGAACCCACGGGTGAAACGGAAGAGAGGGAGCCCAAGGAACAGCTGGCGACGGTCATTGGAGGGGGAGATGGAAACAGTTGGAGAGACGGTCACAATATAGAGTGGAATGGGGAGACTTCGTTAAGGGCCTATGCTCCCCAACGAGGTGAAAGGGTTTAAGTCAGTGAGTAATAAGAACGGATTTTAATGAAGTGCGGTCACAAGGTACCCATACTGTATAACCGAATGCAAGTTAAAAAAATTTAATTGCTAAAATCCTGAATTCAAACAATACCTGGTTCCATCGAGACAGTGTTCTGAAATCTTCCTCGGCTCACAAGGGTCTTGAGGCCCCTGTAAAGGAATACAGAACTTGCATTTATTGTGTTTATTTTAATTAGATAATAACACGCACCAAGAGGATTAAGTAAGTGGTAAGATAGAAGACCACACAGTACTTACAAGTTTTCCAGTGGAGGTCTCTTCCAGTCTGGTAAGAGAATGGCAGCTCCAGACAGACACCCACAGATGATGTTTAGACACTGCTGAAGCTCCTCCCTGAAGACGTAAAATCGCAGATTATGTTAGGTTTCAGATTATGTAACCCGTCTTTCTCTCACTCTAGTAAGTGCATGTTTATCTCTTCTTTACTCGTAGACTGTCCACAGCCCTCTATTTTCTCGTATGTTTATTTGATCTTAAAACGGGCGGATAGAATCGCGGGAAAACTGGACACCAGTACAAAACCGGAGAGTTCACGGGGTAGGGGGTTAGAAATCATCTCTGTTTGGCTCGCTTAGCTTGCCTACTGCCCTCACCTCCTCGTGCTGCGCGCTCGCTTCGCTCACGTTTTCTTTGGCGTACAAATAGAGCGGTTGTGAACAGCCTACTTCACTCCTAGTGAATAGCAGAGCTTTATGGCTTAACTGGCCTATGCCATAAAAGTTCTTTAACACAAAGCACTCTACTCTCCCTGGGTGGGATGCTAGCACAGTTGACAATTATTTCATGTTTTTAGCTGAGCATCTTCGAGCTATGATACAGATGGGAAGTTTGGAGAGTACCACTACAAATTACAACTTGCCAAACAGACGCATGCAAAATATCATCCTTTGATTTCTGTTTTTCAATGTCTTCACTTTGGTAAATACCCTGAATACTTGGAAGATTTATTTACTCTGTAATCCAGCACTTCTTCCTTAATAGGAACTGATATTATATCCCTACCTAAAATATGTACAACTTCTTATGGCCTTAATTCTGTTACCAGAAGTGCGTTCCAGGCCAAATCCTGGAACGCACTGCCAAATCAATATCGTACAATTACAAACTTTAACACCTTCTGCAAATGAATTTTGTCCTGTAATATTGCATACATTTATCTACTTTGTTCTAATTTTTCTTTCATATTTCTTATTTCTTTACTTACATTAAGTAGCTCAAACAAATTAGCAGCAATGCTGCTCTGTAAATTTGAGGGTAAATCTTTATGGTGATGATGATGACGAAGCATAACAGTTCCGCGAGGTGATTTCTTAACATGTTGCAGAGCAAACATGGTTTGCAGATAATATCTTCACGAAAACTAAACTAAGTCAATTTGGTTCTCGGACGTGATGTTCGATCATAATGTAAAAAACAATTTTGTCACTGCAAACGGCAGTGTAAAAGGGGACCACTATACATGTATATGAAGTTTGGAGCAATCAATTTTGTCAATATGCTGGGGGAATTTGATTTACCTTGAGAGCGTCAACGATTCTTCCAGGAATTTTTCCAGCCTCGTCAGCACTGGTTGTAAAAACGTGTCCAACATTTCCTTTGCTAAAAGCTTCTCCTCCTCGGATGGTATGTGCCACTGAATGTTCAGGTTAAAAAGATCCCCTGGCTTTCCCCAGTCCTATACGTGACATGAAAAAATACACGTTAATTTTACTACAATAACTTAAGTGGGTATTGAGCAAGCTCGACTCTTTGTGTGCATATGGTTGTTTCAACGTGACCAACACTGTAACTGCAGAATGATTGGAAGATTGATTTCAGTCATAAGAAACTTGTAATAGTTCAAACGATCTTCAGCCAGAAATTGCTAAATCAACCAGGAATCTATTTCCATAAGAAAATCCATATCCACCGTGACCCTAAAACCCCGGCCAAATGATCGCATCGTTTAAACGCAACATATCGCAACCTTGTTGGGCTCAACATGCTGTACGCGCGTTTGGTAACCCAGTTGTGACGTGTTGTGACACGTTGGGTGTTACAAATCAAACTAGCACGCATGCCCTGGCGCAACATTGTTGCACGAACCTGGCGAAACGAGTACAACATCATGCAACATCCCCAAATGACTTGTTGCATGAAAAAGTTTACCATTTTCAAACTTGAGCCAACAACACCCAACATGTAGGAACATGTCCCAACAGAGTTGCCAAATGCGTGCAATATGTTGCGCAACAATGTTGCATTATGTTGCAATCGTTTGGCCGGGGCTTAAGGATAATGATTGGAAATTCCAGAGGGGAGGGGTCCAAAAGCCAAAAGTAACTTTGAAAAAAACTATAAATCCAAACTAGGATTTCCAGTTGAATTAGTATCAGGGAGAGGGGAGTGTCCAAAACCAAACCACATTCTTTGGAGGATATGGTATTCTCTAGAACACATTCATGACATTTTTTTTTTTGAAAAAATGCAAAACATTTTCCCTGTCTGATTAGCCTGAGAGTAGGCTAATCCTGTCTGATGTGCTGTTTCTTTGCCTTTGGTTAGGTAAACCGTACAATTTATTCTCAGGGCGTAAATTTGTGTATATCCACAGTGACAAACTTATCATAATTTATGTCAAGATACACAAAGCCAAAGAACTTCTGATGTTGTTGTCCAATCTAGCATTGATTCTTCGTTTTTACATGAGCAGATCCGAGGTACCATATCAAAATACTAATGAGAACTACAGGCGAGTTGTAAGCTGTCAAGACAGCAATATTCTGCGAGCGACAAGTCGGGAAAGGTTGATGTTCTTCTTTACCATAAAACACTATGTCTGAAACATTATTTTACATGTTATCTACGAGGCTGTAAACAACCCAGCTACCTTACAATGCTACTGTGCTCTCCACGGTCACACAAGTTCTATTGGAGATGTAACGAATTATGTTCATGGCAAATGGCAAACGGCAAACGGCAAATGGCAAACGGTAAACGACAAAAATGAAACTGCTGCCGTCTATCTTCAGCTGTTTTGTACAGTAGAGTGAAAATATTTGTATTTGCGGTGAATACATGTAGGAGGCGTTTACCTACTTTTGTATGATTTAAATAAGGATTAAAACCTTTCCCGTCTTTTTTTTTCAGCTGTTTGTACAGTAGAGTGAGAATTTATGTTCTATTTGCAGTGAATAGAAGGAGACGTTTGTCTACTTTTGTGTGAATTATTTAGGATTATCAGGAAAAGAAACCGTTAGCGATAGGTATGATGATTAGGCTCTCGAATAACTAGTGTCAACTAGTGATACGGACTTATTGAAGTTATTCTAACCTGACTAACACATGTTAAACGTGTACAAAACCTCACCCTTATAAACAGATGCTCTGTCGGTGGTGTTCCAAAGTCAACCAACACGCTCCTCCACTCCATGGGGTAAATCTTAGCCAGCGGCCGTAGCATGTGCTCCAGGAGCTGCAGGGAAACAAGAGAAATGCTGATCAGATAAATAAAATAGAAAAAAAAATAGGAATTTGAAGTGGCACATTCCACAGAAATCAGATGAAGATCAGATTCTATTGTGTACAAAAATCTTGGAAATATGGGACACTTTCCATTCAGCCAAAAACTCTGAAAATTTCGAAACACGGACAAATGGTATGGAAATTTCCCGGCAAAGTTTCCAGAACATCCGAAATTGTACAATTTCCGAAAAGCGCGCCGTTCAACCGAAAATTTCGAGAGGAAAATCAAATGAAATGGAAATGCCCGATAAGAAATTTGCGAAAATCCCAAGTACCGGTATATAATTCAAACATAACGGTAATTATAAACAATTATTGGATGAGGTCTTTGTGATATCCAGAATAATCAAGGTCGAGGTAGGGGTTATCAGCCGAAGCTGAAGGTTGAGGCTGATAACCCTTACCGAGACCTTGATTATTCTGGATATCACAAAAACCGAATCTAATAATTGCTTTATTGTACATGTACACTGAATGAAGAGAAAATGGAAGTCATATTTTTGCTTCTTGGCTGACAGCAAGCAACACAAATCGCGTGAACTTAACATGATTACCCTTAGAAATCATGCACCGCGGTTATACATAACACGATTACCCATGACCTTGAGTGTCCTTGACATGATTACTGTATAATCTGCAGCTAGATGATGTCACAGGTGCTAGTTTTGAAAAATTCACTGTATGCTTTCGGCCAATCAGAAAAGAGATAGTGAGTACAACATATAATAACATGTAATATTGGCAAATACAATGGAATAAATTCTACTAACTATGGCCCCCAGAGTAGCTGCTTCTTTACACTTCAGGTGAATGGTTGATTTAATTGCTGAAATGAGTTTATCTTTATAATGCAATGATCCACTGGAACGCACAACCTGAGGGAAACAAGTTAAAATACATGAGACATATTGCCGCCGAGCTCAGCAAGAAGAAAATTTGTTGAAAGACTGTACTAGGATTCCTTTTTAGCATTGGTCAAAGCTTACAGTACCGCTGAAAAGTAAGTTACCACCGTCTCTCGAGACGCGTCTCGTCTCATTCAAGACTTTTCTCGTTTCTCCTGAGTGCACTGTAAGTTTCAATGTTTTGCATTGCAGTGACGCACAAAGCCAGTGTTCGAATACTATGATGTAAGTGTTGGGTTTTACAAACTTGCATTTTCCAATGGCATTGATCATGAAGGCAGATATCCACATGCGGCAAGAATAGGACAGGATCACTGCTTCATATTGTAAATTAACAGAGGCTAAAACTTTGTAATTGTTGAGAAAGATTTGCTGAACATCAGAATGTTTGGTTATTAGTACTTCTAGTCTCTTGTGCACCCACTAGGTTCGATTACATGGGTCATTACATGAAGATTACATGAAGACTTGTCTCTGTGTTTGTACGGCAACCCGGCAAATACTGGCTACAACGGACACCACGTGTGTTTAGTGCTAAGTGTTGAGAATGCAATAAAACACCATAATAATGACAACTAGTCAGAACCAAAAAAAGTTTTCACTCGTGTGGCCAACAGTAATGCACATTTATTGGAAAGCGTTTACGTAAGAAAAGAGTTCAACTCCCACAGGATTGGTTAGGTGCATCAACATTGCCGCCATTTCCACACGTAATGTTTCTTTTTTTACAGAGAAAAATAAATCATTACCAGCAGATAATTCTGTTTGTCATGTCATAACAATCATTCTTTCTTGTTAAGAAAGTTTGATTAACAAACAGACTGTAACATGTGTATGTTTGGCTATCAAACATTTGCTCCATGCCTGGGGTATTGTACAAACACTCAAAATGTCTGCAAAGAGTGAAAATATAAAAAAAGTAGATACGAACCTCCGATAAAATCTGAAGATTCCATAACAGCTGATCATCAACTTCCTCTTCTTCTGCGACCCCTTCCACTAAAGAAAATATTGAAAATAATATTAACAATATGCAGCTTTTGTTTCAATGGAACATGGAACATGTCCTCAAACGTGCCCATTACAAAAAGATCATCATGGTCATGTTATCTGACTCATGCAACGAGAAAGTCCTCCAGTTTCAACTACAGTGAATAGTTTTAAGCACTTGCATATCCAAGTACACCGTGGTACCACAAACTAAAGGCCACACTTACACGCTACCATTTTTTGGCCCGATTTGACTGAAATTTTGTTCCAAAAACGAGGACTTTTTTACATAGCCTACGTAGCCTCATTTAAACGCGAGGGGGTTATGAGAATTTGAGACAGTTATACAAACCCAAGACCTAGACAGGCGCACAAATCTTAGTAAAATAGCTGCCTGAAAATTTGCCACAGCACATAGGATACACAGGTTCTGAATGTTTCTAAGAATGCGTTTTCAATGCGAATATTTTGGTTTGCCTATCTCTGATGGTACTGTATCTGATCTGCCTCAGAACTTCAAAGAGCTATGCCGCAACATCATAGGTAATTGACAGTATGTGATGCGCAAAAAATTTCCATATCGAAGGAAACAAGCTTAAGAGTAAAAAACACCAAACAATGGTTACGATTGGAAAAGATCAAAGACAGATTGTAAAAGAAGAGATTAAAACATTCTGGCTGCGTTTTCGAAGCTGAAGCACTCATTCAACAGTTATTCTAGGGAAAATACATGTATGATTGTCTCTAGTTTCTCTTCAAATGCAATGGGCAGTTTAAAGATATAGAATTACACAACCCTCTTGACAGAATATCTACCCGAGTAGAGTTTAGTTACTTACCAGAGGTTAAGTGTTCAATAACAGAACAACAGTGAGGTACAAATTTCTTCAGAGTTGCTGTTGCATTTGTCTGAGTAAAATAAAAGAAATACAATAAAGAAAGGGAAAACATATTCCTAAAGGGTAAACGTAATTTAACATGTACATTAATTATAGAGTCCATAACACAGAAGACACAGTCCCCACAACTACAGGCACTAATTAACTGATCAGGGTTTACTTGCCATGTAACAGAGCGGTTGTCAATAGAGTGTAAAAAGTAATTTGAAGGAATTTGAAGTGGCACATTCCACAGAAATCAGATGAAGATCAGATTCTATTGTGTACAAAAATCTTGGAAATATGGGACACTTTCCATTCAGCCAAAAACTCTGAAAATTTCGAAACACGGACAAATGGTATGGAAATTTCCCGGCAAAGTTTCCAGAACATCCGAAATTGTACAATTTCCGAAAAGCGCGCCATTCAACCGAAAATTCCGAGAGGAAAATCAAATGAAATGGAAATGCCCGATAAGAAATTTGCGAAAATCCCAAGTACCGGTATATAATTCAAACATAACGGTAATTATAAACAATTATTGGATGAGGTCTTTGTGATATCCAGAATAATCAAGGTCGAGGTAGGGGTTATCAGCCGAAGCTGGAGGTTGAGGCTGACAACCCTTACCGAGACCTTGATTATTCTAGATATCACCAAAACCGAATCTAATAATTGTTTTATTGTACATGTACACTGAACGAAGAGAAAATGGAAGTCATGTTTTTGCTTCTTGGCTGACGGCAAGCAACACAAATCGCGTGAACTTGACATGATTACCCTTAGAAATCATGCACCACGGTTATACATGACACGATTACCCATGACCTTGAGTGTCCTTGACATGATTACTGTATAATCTGCATCTACATGATGTCACAGGCACTACAGGCAACTACAGGCACTAATTAACTGATCAGGGTTTACTTGCCATGTAACAGAGCGGTTGTCACTAGTGTAAAAAGTAATTTGCATTTTCGCAATTTTGGGTTTGCATTAATACGTTACATGATTGGCTAAAAATCTCGTGCCACTTTGTCATCCAATCAGAAGCGCAACCAAAACCAATCGTCGCGCTCACGTTTTCCTGTTCTCTGCGTCGGCTGCATGAATTTGCTGAGTTTTGATTGGTTCGCTGGATTGTTTGTGTCCCCGGCACAGGATTTGCCACAGTCATTACTTCGGTTTTTACTAGGAAGGTGTCTTGCATTCCAGTCTATAATAAGCTCACACAGTGTGGATATAATAATAATTTCCTCTAAATTTTTTTCCAGTTTACAATAATTGTGACCAGTCAATCTCCAGCACCGTACACTGTAAATACAAAGCTGAAATTGAACCTAGCAATTTCTTTGAGAAATAGACTCTACACCAACCAAAGAGGCGGCATGGCCTGATGGTTAGGGCACTAGATTTGTAATCCGGAGGTCTTGGGTTCAAATCCCTCTCCCTGCCACTAGATGGATTTGTGTTCCGTTGTACCAAAATTAATTCAACTCCCCTCGTCTTGTAAATAACCAACTGGTCAGCCTCCAACCAGTTGGGATTTTAAACACGTTTTCAGTTCTACTTACAATATTTGTTTCTCGATTTAGTCTCCCCAGCACAGCAGCGCTTCATATAAATACCATCACACTTAATAAAGTGACTTATCATTTAACCAAGCAGCTGGTATTTTTTTGAAACTCACCCTTGCAGCCGCCCGGCACATGTCTGATGCCATCTTTCCTGCCACCTTTGTTTCAAGTACTTTGCTGGTACAAAACGCAAATAGCTGATCAAGAGCACACTGAAGAAAAACAACAACAGCGACAACGACTAAATACATGCATAGTGAGTAAATACAATGTATATGACACTGAACGCGGTCCATACTGGGAAATGTTAGCTGAGTTATGGATCGCAAAGAGACCAATATTCTCCGATACAGACCAAATAAAACAAGCCAGTTCAATACAACATTGGATAAAAAATTGAAACGCCTACAAAAACTTCTTAGTAGAACATTCGTATGGATGCCCACATTTCAAATCCTGGCTTATGAAACTTGTATGGGTAATCAAATGGTGACAAGATTTGATTACCTTTCAATAATCATGGGTGACAAATTACGCCTGCAATCATGGCTTTTTGAATTGTTTCTGTTACCACAATTGCTGCTAATCTCGCAATCTGATTGGCTAATTTGCCATTGTTGACAAGAGTCCATACCACGCTGCTCCCGTCAATGTGTTGCGCAATGCCTTTTTCAGCTTGCGCTCTGAAAAAACATTTTCTTGGACGTTGATATTGTGGTAAAAAACAAATCGAAATGTGGTTTAGCGTGGTCTGTACTCCTATCGACAATAAGTACGCATCATCACAGTGGTCAAAATTTGTTGTGGACTCACTCGGCTGCACCTTGTGAGTTCACAACATTTTGACCACTATGATGATGTGATGTAATTTCATAAATTAACGCAGAAATTTCGCGCCAAAATTAAGGAGTAATTTGTCACCCATGATATTACTATGGAAACATAATCAACTGGAAATTATAAGACTAGTTATTGCGGTTGTACAAAACAGAACTTTACCTGGAAAATCTTGGGCGAGCTCTGCATCAGAATAGCGTGAAATGTCGAGGCCACGCCCATTCCCATCATGCCCTCCAGGGAGTGACGCTGGTCAGCTTTCATCGTGGTACTGTCTAGCTCTGACGTGTTCTCAAACGATGAGTTGTCAATCATTGCAAAACATCTGTGAAACAGAACCAAAAAACATTACAACAGCCCCAGATACAGTTTAACAAAATGCTGTTGAGGCAAACATTGTGATTGTTGTCACTAAGGATTTACTTCATGATTAGGATTATCCAAAAATAACTCTGACAGAGCCCTTGTTCGGACGTTAGTAGTAAAGTCTGCATACGAGCCAAATGGCCCATCAGACCAGTGCTTATCTCCGGTTTCTCTGGCATGAAACAACCAGGAGTATTTCCACTCTCCCTGGATGGGATGATGGTCTATTGCAGAGTGACCCCCAGCATTAAATTCGCCGGTACCCATTTATACACCTGGGTGGAGAGAGGCACTGTCAAAGTAAAGTGTTTTGCCTAAGAACAGAACACAATGCCCCCAGCCAGGGCTCAAACCTGCACCTCTTGATCCGGAGGCGAGCGCACTAACCATGAGGCCATCATGCCTCCACAAGGATGGATGTTGGATGTTAGTGCTTCACAACAACTTTTTAGTTAGTATTGGATAAGGGTCACAGCAATAATTGTAAACCATTTCATGTGGGTGGTAAGATGTTGAGCACTGAACTCGAATTTGTACCCAAACAGTCGCGACAGAGGAGCTTTCAACAGTCAGAAGTCTTTTATGCTAACCATGGGATAGATGCACCCCTGTGCCTTAAAAAAACCGATAAGCGTTGACAAGATAAGAGTACATTAAAATGTACATTCATCTTGGCAAGTTTTAAAAAACCTCCCATAAATGAACACCCTTGGGAATTGGAAACTTGTTGTACTGTGGAATCCCACCTTCCGGGCACCTCGTTAATACGGCCTGAAGAAGAGCTGAGTCAGTCATTTTCTTTTTACTGAACTCTTTTAATACCGCCACCCTGTTAATACAGACTAACAGGGTTCCACTATACATTTAGGAGAGGTGCCTGCTCCTGCTTCAACAGTATGTAGTGATTGTATGTGCGGGTAGCTGGGGCTGTGACTAAGGCTGTCTATAGAAGTTGTTTATTACAAGATGATCAGCTGTATTAAGTATAAATATGTAAACATTGTTTCTTGGACCGTTCTGCAAAGAAACCTACAGATCTTACACAAAATGAGAAGCCTAAAGTACTGTAGGTCTAATGTCATCAGTTTAAGAATTTACCTGTCCATAAATTGTAGCACAAAGTCTTCGAACTGAGCCGTTGCAAGACACAACTCTTTCTCATCCTGCAAAATGTTAAGAAGAATTTCATAATACCTTGATATGGATTCATGTAGGATAAAACTGCAACTTGTAGCATACATGTAATTGTAATAAAATTAATGTAAGCAACAAAGAACACGCAAAACGTTACTGTAACCTCTGTCATTTCTACAACTCCCACAGCCTCTGAACAGTCCACAACGGGCACCAGACAAACAACGGTGGAAATGAACATAAACGTTCCCTACAAAAATAATCAAGTGAGCATCATTANCACAAAAGTGATTACTGTAAAATAATGTACTAAAATATTACATTTTGGCCAACTACACATGTACATGTAAACCTTACTTGTCTAATAGAGTTGGAAGGACTATGTCTGGTTTGATCAGAGCCAGATTTTGCAGTGCCCCAGCAGCATCAAAGCTTCCACTCTTGTTAAACACTGCTAGCATGACAGCAGGCTTGAGGCACTCTACAAATGCTGTCAGGTCATCATCCTTCAGCTTGGATTCTTCTGGAATGGGGGTCTCCCAAGAATTCTTTGGAAATCTCTCTCTAATGAAAAAACAAAACAATTTAAGGTGGTACGTGTAAGTTTAATATAGTTACATGTAAGTATAACTATCATATACATGCCGCTGTAGCAAGAAGAACTTACAGTCATGTAAATCATCAACATGTAAATTATGTGCAAACAAGTATGTGTAGTGTGATATCTGACCATAAAATTCCAATAAGCCATGGGCTTGGACAGGTTCAAAAAGGCTTTTTGTAGGGCTTGTACACACACATGTAAAAGAAGTTCTCCAGTTGCTACGAGAACTTCAAAATTCTCTTGGTGTACACATACTCTTACTAACAGTATAGGGAAGACAGACACCTTTCTTCCACTGTATACATGTTTGTACTTTGTCACCATTCAGGTATCACATTAATCATTCTGCCCACAGTAAAAGATAATTAATATCATCAATTAATTATCTGTATTCAATGTTTTATTACCTGTGAAGCCTCTTTATCATTTCTTTGGGCAAGTTGTAAAGAAACCTCTGGAGCTTACCCTGTGACAGAGAAGAAGAAAATTAATAGTGATGCACATTACACATGTATGTCCATACATACATGTACGTAACAAAGGTAAGCTGGTCCATGCATTGTGACTGGCTCCCTACAACTGTTAGCAGTCTGATTTTGCAATACAGACCATTACAATTATCATCATTTACATGCACAGAGGTCTACGATGTACATGTATACACGTGGACATGTACCTTGTAGTTCAATTTTTGCCCACGGTTCTGAATCAGTACAAAATGTTTCAAACCAGCATCAAACTTTTGAACTGGTTCCAAAGGCCTGTAACAGCTTATGAGAGGTGAAACTGTACAAATGTACACACTATTGATTCATGATTCAAAAAAAGTGATCATGTGATGACGAATTTCATGATTGAGTGATGAGTGAATCTCCTGCCGTCGGGGAAGGTGCTTCACAGTTTGTTTGCAAGTTTGTTGAGTATCGCACAACTTTATAATACAGAGAAGAGTTTGAATGATGCACATCCATCACACGGATAAGATTTGAGTTGAACTGGCTACTTTTGAGGAATTTGTGACAGCTGTACTGCAAACTGTAGCCAAGAGATGCTTGTCATCACATGTTCATTTTTAATCCCCAACTTAAACCAACGGTGCATGCAACGACCTGAAAAAAATTCCATTTCAACAGACGTCTGGGATCAATAGTAACTTTGCACCGGCGCACCTTAATTCAATTGATTCATAACTTAATTTATAACTTCAGGAGCCCGTGACCTTCAATAACCATACTAAAGTAAAATGCAGTTTCATTCTGACTATACAATGTACAAGTTCTCACTGAGTAACGTCCATTGTTTGAAGGATGGTAAAAAGATTCCAGTGCTTTGAACAATTTGCAGAGATGTTCTTGAGTCGAACTGGAGCTACTCTGAAAAGCAATTTCAATGAAATTACAGATTTCGAAATAATAATATTTATTATTATTAATTGCTAACAGCTACAGTATTAAATTCTAAAGAATGTATGTCTTGCGACAGTCTCAAAAAATAATCCTTGACAGGCCCTAAGTACATTTGTAAAATACATGGCTGAAGACATGTACAGTGTATGTTCCATTGTTTGTTTACACTGACTTTCAAAAATCCCCATTTCAGGGCTCAAAAAAAAAGGTCACCCGGTCATCCTGGACAACTAGGTTTTGCTGCCAGGCAAGTTACTTTTCATTCTCACTTGCCAATGGTCAAGGGCCCAGGCAAGTCGTCCGCCAACTAATTCAAAACAAAGTCAGTAAACTAAGACTTGCCCAGGGCAAGCAAAATTTGAGAGCTACAACAGCAAGGTGGAATTTAAGATCTTTTCAAGTTTTCAAGCCATGCTATGTGACTGTATGTACAGTGGAAACCCCCCTTGCGGCCACCTCATTATTACAGCCACTTTATTCTGCCCTGAACAAAGGTTCAGTCAGTCATTTTCTGATTTAAAGAACCCCTTTAAGATGGCCACCCTGTTAATACGGCCAGATTTTTGTGGCCTGTTGGTGACCAGATCAATTGGGTTCCACTGTACATGTATTTATTTATCTGTTACCTACATGTTAAAAAAAAACCCAGCAACATTACAGGCCTACCATTGAATTGATAATCCAGATAACAAATGAGCTAATTATGCTTGAATAATCTTTGAGGCTGCTAATAGGAGTATTGCCGCCAACAGGAAGATGAAAATTCCTTAAAATCCGTGTAAATACCTGAAGATCATAAAATAGGAACACCTGCAGTTTAGTGATGGTTCCATGGCATTTCATGAAATAATTGGGTAAACTAAATTTATGGGTTAATTTACAGTGTATTACTCACAGTTGCAAGGTATGGACTNAAATTACTCTCTAGCCACTTTTTTGTGTCATTGTAAGACTATTATGTTCTCACGTTAATAAAGGTCAGGCTGTGTGGTTTGGCTTGGCATGGCTACCAGCAGTGTGTGAGAAGGCCACTTTATTCTGGCCTGAACAAAGGCTCAGTCAGTCATTTTCTTATTTATAGAACCCCTTTAAGATGGCCACCCCGTTAATACGGCCAGATTTTTGTGGCCCGTTGGTGACCGGATCAATGCGGTTCCACTGTATTTAATTATCTGTTTCCTACACATAAAAAAAAAACAGCAACATTACAGGCCTACAATTGAATTGATAATCCAGATAACAAATGAGCTAATTATGCTTGAATAATCTTTGAGGCTGCTAATAGGAGTATTGCCGCCAACAGGAAGATGAAAATTCCTTAAAATCCATGTAAATACCTGAAGATCGTAAAACAGGAACACCTGCAGTTTAGTGATGGTTCCATGGGGTTTCATGAAATAATTGGGTAAACTAGATTTATGGGTAAATTTACAGTGTACTACTCACAGTTGCAAGGTATGGACTCCAATCAACAAATCCAATGTTATCTTTTGCCAGCCTGGCAAACAACTTTAAGCAGTCCTGGAAAAGTGACGATAAAATTGATTACATTTCTAAAATTACTGGTAGAGGAGATAATTCTTTCAAAACATCCAAGCCAAGCTGGCAAAAAGATGCATGACCACAAACTTACATGTACTTGTAGCTACAAGGGAGCCCATACACTAAACATGAACTACTGTACAATGTAGCTAGTACCTCTTTCGCTTAGTGCGTCATGTGTGAAGCAAAAGAAAACTGTGAGAAAAAAAATGGTTGCGCGAAATCCTGGGGGCAAGAAGTGGGAAAAGGAGACATACAGTGTAACAAAACTTTCCAAGGGTCTGTAACAAACATCATTTCCAACAAAGCTTACGAGGCAGCATAGATCCAATTGCCATTGCCGTTATTGTTGACTGGTGTTTTTGTTTTGATTTCTTTTCAATAAATACAGAACTGTAAATTTTTTCCATTAATCATATTAAATCTTTTTCAGGGTGTCCAATTACAAGACTAGACAGTACAATTTGATTTTCCACTCACAATCTGACCCAGAAAGAAACTGCAAAGCCAATGAACATACAAGAAGAACTTTGAAAGTTGTTTTTCACCACCTCATGAAAAAGCAGAAAAAGTAGACCTACAGGGCCCGTAGCTAGTAACAGGTAAACCAAGGCACCTGCTTCAGTCATTTTTTTTGTTATTGTTGTTTATAGTCATCATAAACACCCTAAATACTGTACCTAGGAAGAGAATTTAACCATGCACATTGCCTAGGTCTTTATTTTTTCATGTCCAGAGATTGCCACAGTCATAGCTTTTTTATGGCTTCAGCCTTGACTTAGGTCAGAGACTAGCACTGCTTGGCTATTGAGAGCGAGGTTCAACTTTATGTACATGAAATAGTAGGAACCTTCGTTAAAATTTCTGCTGACATGTACACGTAGCTCATGGCTCATACCTCTTCCCACCTTGGGCTGTTGGTACATGACTGCCAAATCCCTAACAGCTCATCAAACCACAACCTGGAGGATAGCAATCACAAAGCCATGTAATGAGTTTCGAATGCAATGACAGGACATTTCCCTCCAATAAGTTTGATCCATGTTCTGTTCATTGTACTAACAGTTCTAGCTGAGTATGATAGGTTTTGCCTTGATGCTACAGGTGAAATTGCCTGTTGTTGATAAAATTCACCCACAAAGTAACAAGTTTGATACAGGTGAGGAACACAAATTAAAGTTACGGGTGACTCCAAACTAAATGAAAGCCTTGATAACTACATGACTGTACAATATACATAGTACCGTACATGTACATGCAAAGTAGGTATTTTGTGATTTTATGCAACAGAAAAGCACTTTGCTAGAGAGGTGTAATGCTCTGACCAACCACTGGATGAAATATCAATACGTATGTCATGTGCTGTACATGAACTGTAACAAGTCTCTAGCTATACTGAAAGTCCTATGACCAACAGCTGTTCACAATAAGCTTGAACGCAAGAAGTACCCACGCCAAGGTTTTTTTAAGAAGGCAGCTGCGACAAAGTTATTATCTACATTATGATCTCAGCTGACTAATCTGCTTGGTTATTCTTCCAGTTCTTTAGTCTTAGTCTCCTATGCCATGAAATAAAGCTACCTAACTGAAAACTTCGTAACAACCCTGATTACCATTAATTTTACTATTATAGAGATAGTGTGCAAGTTCATGAACATGTAGCTAGCTATCATAACTGAAACATTGGATAATGTACATTAATTTTTGTACTTCCACAGTTTTAACTGGTTTAATGGTCATTGGATATCTGAGCCATTATAAAATGACAACAAACATGGTGAACAAAATTTGTCTTGTACATGTAGTCTACAGTACATGCAGTCATATTAATCACAGAATTTGAAATTACAGTTCAAGCTAACAATACCAATATTACTACTTCCATCAAGCACTTTAAACAAACAACAGTTCCATGTTGTACACAAACAAGCAAAAACTGGAAAATGAATAAAGTTCAAGTTGCACAATTCAGGGGTGTCGTCTTTACCCAGATTGTCAACCCAGGTGAGCAAAATCATCCTCACAGCCAGTCAATTTGTGCAGTGCTTGGCCCTTAATAAAACCCCTGATGACTGCATTTATGATCAATAAACAAATTACTACCTACTTGAACCCTTAGTCGTGCTTTGCAGGCAAGAGTGTTGTTGGCAAAAACAGGGAAAAATAAAACATTGCTTTGCTGAATGTAACATCATAAGGACACAATAACGGCCACCACTCATTAAGCATCTCCTGGGTGGAGTCTTCAGAAAAATACCTGAAAATAAGACAGCCAGGTTCAATGTTTTTCTGATCCAGTACATAAGAGGAGTTGAGTGACCTTCCAGCACTATGATTTCACTCCAGTTTTGGTAATATGCAGTGCACCTGGGAAAATACTCCAGTTTCAAGTTAACCAAGGCTGCCTAATAACACATGAGCAATAATTACTGCTTAATGTATCTGTACAGTTGTCTCCATCTGAAGTGAAATATTTGCAAATATGGGTGAGAGCATGAACTAAGAGCAACTCTGTCTGTTATTTCATCTTACACTTCATCACATTGGTGCCAGTATTTTGTGGATAATTCACTTCAGATTAAAGGATCTACATCACGGTTTGCACATTGAAAAGTTACACTAAAATCACTTAAATTTTTCAAGTTCGTCGTTTGAAATTTGTGTCAATCCCATCCTTACAGTATTTCTTTATTGTTTATGATTACATGTAGCTCTTTGGTGTTTTTCTATCTTTTAGCTAATAAACTATTATTTTCAGGTTTTCTTCAATTTAAAGGTAATTTTGTACATGGCCAAAGAGACTAACACAGTACATATACCTGTACAGATGATATCGCACATGACTCTCTTTACTCAGCAGTCTCAATTAACTCAAAACTGGACTATTGCCACTATACAGACACGCTCTCCACCTGAACTGGAANAAGAACTTACAGTCATGTAAATCATCAACATGTAAATTATGTGCAAACAAGTATGTGTAGTGTGATATCTGACCATAAAATTCCAATAAGCCATGGGCTTGGACAGGTTCAAAAAGGCTTTTTGTAGGGCTTGTACACACACATGTAAAAGAAGTTCTCCAGTTGCTACGAGAACTTCAAAATTCTCTTGGTGTACACATACTCTTACTAACAGTATAGGGAAGACAGACACCTTTCTTCCACTGTATACATGTTTGTACTTTGTCACCATTCAGGTATCACATTAATCATTCTGCCCACAGTAAAAGATAATTAATATCATCAATTAATTATCTGTATTCAATGTTTTATTACCTGTGAAGCCTCTTTATCATTTCTTTGGGCAAGTTGTAAAGAAACCTCTGGAGCTTACCCTGTGACAGAGAAGAAGAAAATTAATAGTGATGCACATTACACATGTATGTCCATACATACATGTACGTAACAAAGGTAAGCTGGTCCATGCATTGTGACTGGCTCCCTACAACTGTTAGCAGTCTGATTTTGCAATACAGACCATTACAATTATCATCATTTACATGCACAGAGGTCTACGATGTACATGTATACACGTGGACATGTACCTTGTAGTTCAATTTTTGCCCACGGTTCTGAATCAGTACAAAATGTTTCAAACCAGCATCAAACTTTTGAACTGGTTCCAAAGGCCTGTAACAGCTTATGAGAGGTGAAACTGTACAAATGTACACACTATTGATTCATGATTCAAAAAAAGTGATCATGTGATGACGAATTTCATGATTGAGTGATGAGTGAATCTCCTGCCGTCGGGGAAGGTGCTTCACAGTTTGTTTGCAAGTTTGTTGAGTATCGCACAACTTTATAATACAGAGAAGAGTTTGAATGATGCACATCCATCACACGGATAAGATTTGAGTTGAACTGGCTACTTTTGAGGAATTTGTGACAGCTGTACTGCAAACTGTAGCCAAGAGATGCTTGTCATCACATGTTCATTTTTAATCCCCAACTTAAACCAACGGTGCATGCAACGACCTGAAAAAAATTCCATTTCAACAGACGTCTGGGATCAATAGTAACTTTGCACCGGCGCACCTTAATTCAATTGATTCATAACTTAATTTATAACTTCAGGAGCCCGTGACCTTCAATAACCATACTAAAGTAAAATGCAGTTTCATTCTGACTATACAATGTACAAGTTCTCACTGAGTAACGTCCATTGTTTGAAGGATGGTAAAAAGATTCCAGTGCTTTGAACAATTTGCAGAGATGTTCTTGAGTCGAACTGGAGCTACTCTGAAAAGCAATTTCAATGAAATTACAGATTTCGAAATAATAATATTTATTATTATTAATTGCTAACAGCTACAGTATTAAATTCTAAAGAATGTATGTCTTGCGACAGTCTCAAAAAATAATCCTTGACAGGCCCTAAGTACATTTGTAAAATACATGGCTGAAGACATGTACAGTGTATGTTCCATTGTTTGTTTACACTGACTTTCAAAAATCCCCATTTCAGGGCTCAAAAAAAAAGGTCACCCGGTCATCCTGGACAACTAGGTTTTGCTGCCAGGCAAGTTACTTTTCATTCTCACTTGCCAATGGTCAAGGGCCCAGGCAAGTCGTCCGCCAACTAATTCAAAACAAAGTCAGTAAACTAAGACTTGCCCAGGGCAAGCAAAATTTGAGAGCTACAACAGCAAGGTGGAATTTAAGATCTTTTCAAGTTTTCAAGCCATGCTATGTGACTGTATGTACAGTGGAAACCCCCCTTGCGGCCACCTCATTATTACAGCCACTTTATTCTGCCCTGAACAAAGGTTCAGTCAGTCATTTTCTGATTTAAAGAACCCCTTTAAGATGGCCACCCTGTTAATACGGCCAGATTTTTGTGGCCTGTTGGTGACCAGATCAATTGGGTTCCACTGTACATGTATTTATTTATCTGTTACCTACATGTTAAAAAAAAACCCAGCAACATTACAGGCCTACCATTGAATTGATAATCCAGATAACAAATGAGCTAATTATGCTTGAATAATCTTTGAGGCTGCTAATAGGAGTATTGCCGCCAACAGGAAGATGAAAATTCCTTAAAATCCGTGTAAATACCTGAAGATCATAAAATAGGAACACCTGCAGTTTAGTGATGGTTCCATGGCATTTCATGAAATAATTGGGTAAACTAAATTTATGGGTTAATTTACAGTGTATTACTCACAGTTGCAAGGTATGGACTCCAATCAACAAATCCAATGTTATTTTTTGCAAGCCTGGCAAACAACTTTAAGCAGTCCTGGAAAAGTGATGATAAAATTAATTACATTTCTAAAATTACTGGTAGAGGAGATACATGTAATTCATTCAAAACATCTCAGAAAAATTTTCGCCAAGCTGGCAAAAAAGGTGCATGGCCACAAACTTACTTGTAGCTACAAGGGAGCCCATGCACTAAACATGTACTACTGTACTATGTACATGTAGCTAGTACCTCTTTTGCTTAGTTGGTCATGTGTGAAGCAAAACAAAACTGAAAAAAAAAAAATGTTTGCGCGAAATCCTGGGGGCAAGAAGTGCACAAAAGGAGATATACAGTGTAACAAAACTTTCCAAGGGTCTGTAACAAACGTCATTTCCAACAATGCTTATGAGGCATCATAGATCCCATACATATATAATTTATGTACAGGATGCTGCTATTGCCATTGCTGTTATTGTTGACTGGTGTTTTTGTTTTGATTTCTTTTCAAAAAATACAGAACTGAAAATTCTTTGTATTAATCATATTAAACCTTTTTCAGGGTGTCCAATTACAAGACTAGAGAGTACAATTTGATTTTCCACTCACAATCTGAGCCAGAAAGAAATTGATAAACATACAAGAAGTTTTGAAAGTTATATTTGACCATCTGCTCTGCAAGCGCTCATGAACAAAGAGCAGAAAAAGAAGACTTACAGCATGCACATTGCCTGGGTGATTATTTTTTCATGTCCAGAGATTGCCTCAGTCATAGTTCTTTTATGGCTTCGGCCTTGACTTAGGTCAGAGACTAGCACTGCTTGGCTATTGAGAGCGATGTTCAACTTTATGTACATGAAATAGTAGGAACCTTCGTTAAAATTTCTGTTGACATGTACACGTAGGTCATGGCTCATACCTCTTCCCATCTTGGGCTGTTGGTACATGACTGCCAAATCCCTAACAGCTCATCAAACCACAACCTGGAGGAAAGCAATCACAAAGCTATGCAATGAGTTTCAAATAAAATGACATGAAAGTTCTCTCCAATAAGTTTGATCTATGTCCTGTTCATTGTACTAACAGAACTGACTGTGAGTATGCTAGATTTTGCCTTGATGCTATGGGTGAAATGGCCTGTTGTTGATAAAATTGACCCACAAAGTTATATGTTTGCTTCGGGTGTGGAATACAAAGTTACAGGTGACTCAAAACTAAATGAAAGCGCTGATAACTACATGACTGTACAATACCCATAGTACATGAACATCAATTACCTGTAGATATTTTCATACAGATGTCATGTACAGTCACTGGCTATACTGAAAGCCAAATGGCCAACAACTGTTTACAATACACATGGACTTGTACGCAGGTTTGAGAAGTACCCATGGCAAGGTTGTTTTAAGCAGGCGGCTGTGACAAAGTCATGATCTAATGACTCAGCTGACTTATTTCTAGTCCTTTAGTCTCAGTCGCCTATCCCAAGAAACAAAGCCACCTAACTGAAAACTTTGTAACAACCCTGACTACCATTTACTATTATATAGATACTGTACAACTGCATGAACATGTAGCTACTGTAGCTATATCAAAACTGCAACATTGAATATAATGTACACTAATTTTTGTACTTCCAGAGTTTTAGCTGGTTTAGCAGTCATTGGATATCAGCCATTATAACATGTGCAACAAACATGATGAACAAAATTTGTCTTGTACATGTAGTCTACATGCAGTCATATTAATCACAGAATTTGAAATTACAGTTCAAGCCAACAATACCAATATTGAATTATTACTTTCACCAAGCATTTTAAATGAACAACAGTTCCAAGTTATACACAAAAAAGCAAAAACTGGAAAATGAATAAAGTTAATATACAACTCAGGGGTTTCGTTTTCACAGGCTGGTAAAACTATTCGAATTGAACTTCTTTATAAGAAAACAGTCTTTACCCAGATTGTCAAACCAGGTGGGCAAAGTCATCCTTAAAGCCAGTCAATTTGTACAGTGCCCAGCCCTTAATGAAGCCCCTGATGACTGCATTTATGATCAATAAACAAATTACCTACTTGAACCCTTTGTTGTGCTTGTCAGGCGAGAGTGTTGTTGGCAAAAACAGGGAAAAGTAAAACATTGCTTTGCTAAATGTAACATCATAAGGACACATTAACGGCCGCCACTCATCAAGCATCTCCTGGGTGGAGTCTTCAGAAAAATACCTGAAAATAAGACTGCCAAGTTCAATGTTTTTCTGATCCAACTGGTACATAAGAGGTGTTGAGTAACCCATCAGCACTACGATTTTACTCTGGTTATGGTAATTAATACGCAGTGCACCTGGGAAAATAGTCCACTTTAAAGTTAACCAAGGCTGCTGAATAACAAGACTAAAGATGTATCTGTACAGTTGTCTCCATCTGAAGTGAAATATTTGCAAATTAATATGGGTGAGAGCATGAACTAAGGGCAACTCTGTGTACTCTTACACTTCATCACTTTGGTGAAGGTATTTTGTGGATAATTCACTTCAGATTAAAGGACATACGTCATGGTTTGTGCATCAAAAGGTTAAGCTTAAATTTTTCAAGTTCATTGTTTGTAATTTGTGTCAATCTTCTCCATTTCTTTATTGTTTATTACTAGCTCTTTGGTGTTTTTCTATCTGTTAGCTAGTAACCTTTTATTTTCAGGTTTCCTTCAATTTAAAGGTAATTTTGTACATGGCCACAGACAAACTCAGTACGTACAGTCAGATGATGTTGTGACTCTTTTTATTTGGCAGTCTCAATTAACTTGAATCTGGACTATAATAATTACCACTATACAGTCACACTCCCAAACTAAAATGGGATGCTACTCCATCGCATCTAGTCCCCTGCAATTTTTGTGGTTGTCTTCAGCAGACAGGGCACTCTGGTAGTACCTATTCATACTCTTGACTAAGTGCCTTAGTATTCGAACTCAGACTGTCCAATACTTAATTAATATGTACTATGATTTGACGTATGGGTCAATTAACGGGTCATTTAAAATCCCTGTTTCTTGATTAAACAGTTTTGCAGTTAAATAAAGATACATGTTGATTAGACAGAGTTTGTGTCCATGTAAAATCGTTCCACAGTAATATGGTACATGTACAACTGCTACATTCTGTATATAAACTTACAGTACATTCATACCATGTCATAAAAAATAGCGCCAATCAGAAGAGAGGAAAGCTGTTGTATACTCAACAGTAATACATCTAACTTAATTCCCAGCAGGTGCTGAGTTAATTGTGTTAGCCACTATATTTCCTGTGGCATGGTATAAAAATAATAGTTATACAACACTTTCTTTGGTATACCTGTACTACAAAATATCCCACTTGCCACTTGTATTTTCTTGGTATACAAACTTGCCAAAAAATCTTGTGTGCAAACCATGGTATACCCCTCAACAACATTGCATAACTAGTATATATGTGTAGTTTGTGCTACTTACACTCTTGATACACGGACCACATGCTTCACTGTCTCTTCAAGTTTTCTGGTAGATGATAGAACATATAAAAAAAAGTTTGCTATTGTTCATGTCATACACATAACACTTACACACTACAGACTGTGAAGGGCCTCCAGGCGAGTTGTTAACCAAGTAATGTTCACTTTTATTACTATCATAATAAAATTTCAATATTTTTGCTTGAACTTTCACTTGTGTTATTAACTTTAAAATGCACATGTATAGTATTTAACATACTGTAGACAAAGAAAATCAAATGTTTTTGGGTCATGGCCCAAGCCCCACTTCATTGCCCACTATCTAGGGGGTCTGTGGCATGATATTACATGTATGAACAGGGGCATCACAATTTTGTAAAAGTTTCAAGAGCTAAAATCTTTAACTAGTATTGAAAATCCCCTCTATCAAAATTTCACACACAGGAACTGTTGAAAGTCTTATATTAAACAATTGGATTATGAGCTCAAAATGTCTTTTGCGTGACAGTTGACAAGGGCTGCTCACGCATAGAAAGAGAGAGCAAATAATCTAATAATTGTAGCAGTATAAATCTACAAGTCATTCAAAACTTCATCTAAATCCTCTTCAAAGACACTTCAAAAATGCCAAGAAGCAGCCATCATTTTGTTGACAAGGGCACACTGCTACACTACACACCATCTATCACAGAATACATAGTGAGTAGCATAGCCAATCAAAGAATGGCATTTGTGATATAATGCTAGTAGATTTATACTAATTACTGATATGTATTCTCTTATAATCAACTAATTTGCATTGTGTCAGAATCAAAGCTACATTTACACACATATACAGGCGTGCATTGCATTATATATAATGGTATATATAATTATATGCACATGCCTTTTATTAAACTACAGTACAAATTATTGTCTTGAAATGCACAAGAAAAGCTCGCAGGTTTCAAAACTTACATGGGATGTTTCTTCAGTCCAGCCACTTCGTATTTCGAATGAAATGTAAAGTCCACCAGGTCATAAAGAGGTCGCCATGGCAGAAGAAGGTCATCTCTTGATATTAGTTCTCGCTTCCTAAAGGGAATTGATAGAAACTAAAGAAGTTAGATGATGTACATGTATACCTTCACGGATGTTATAAGTTGTCACTTGGCTTTGAATTTATTACAAGTGAGCACCAACCAAGTCAGAGACACGATGTGAATCTCAGTAATCAATAGCATCATGCAAGGCCTGTGAACATTCAGCTACAATATGTAGGAGCCAGTATGGCCAACACTTACACCGTAACTCTCTGTCTGTTGCATGATGTGAATTGGAGTATTTCTCCTCCCTTCTGGATAGAATGCTATTGAACATGGATGTCCCATATCAAAGATGTACATGCACCTATGATTATGGTGCTAGCTACTCTTTTTTTTTTTCAAGGTACATGTATGGGGCTCAGCTTGCACATGCATGCACAGTCCGAGTGGCATATGGACATACGTATAGATGTACAGTATGGACAATCATCTGACCACCAAATTGTTTTAGCTGGATGGTTTACCAAATTTTCTAAGGTATGGGGCATTTGGTGGATAGGAGCTCCACTAATAATAAATTGATAAATTATGCTGTGTGTGTAAAGAATGTAATGAAATGAATTTATACACTTACTTGAGTAGCAGAATCAATACATGGCCAAAGGAAATCACGTATTGAGGATCAAGATTAGGAGCTGTTGTTAGTTCAAAGAAGATCTGTATAAAATTCAGATGGTCCTCCTTTGAAAACTTTCTTCCATAGAGCTTTATATAGCTGAAAAAGTAAAAAAATTATTTAAACAAGTGATATACATGTATACAGTTACTGTACAAGTTAGCAGGCTGTTTCAAAAGTCATTTCCAATATACTGGCAGAATACTGTGCAAGCATCTATTGAACCTCTGGATCTACATTTATAAACAACTTATTAACTGAGAATGAGGTCTTTACAGGAAAATCTCAAACCATGACCTTGCCATATTGACCTTATAGGAGAATAATGCCCTAGAATTAGCCAATCAGACCCTTCCCATATAAAAGTTTGTAAAGTTCCCCATCCCCCCCAGTTAAAACCTGTTTTCGTAGCTTATACATGGACAAGTAAAGTCAAACCTGTATTAACCAGCCACCCTTGGGGAAATGAAAGGTGGCCACTTAACAGGGGTTTGTTTACCTTGAATATTGTCAACATCAGGTTAATTTCTTAATGAACATGGAGTCACTTCAAGACAGCCTTGATAAAAGTGTGTTTGAATGTTTTTAATCACTCGTCACTTATATCCGACTCTTATCTGCCATAGCCTTTTCCAAAACAAAGTAAATTTAGTCCGTGCATTTAATTCTGGGTTGCCCTTTAATAGAGGTAAAGACTATAGAAAAACCCTAACCAGGAAGACCAAAAGGTGGCCATGGCTGCTTAATAGACGTGGCCGGTTAAGAGAGGTTATATTTGCAGTATTTTACTGACAATAATTTTGGGACTTTGACAACTGGCCACTAATAAGGGGTGGCTGCTCAATAGGTGGCTGCTTATATTAAATAGAGGTTCCACTGTACAAGTAAAACAAAGGTCCTTTCTGAGATTTCCTCTTCTGAATGAGATCAAGGGTTTCAATAAGATTTTTGACACAAGGGCATCAGGATATGACATACACACACTACATGAAATGACAAGAAGACTTCCTTTGTTGACGATTTATTCTATATGCAAAGCTCGGGGGGCCCAGGGGCATGAACCCTGGAAAACATTTAAGTTAGAACTACACTTGTAGAGATAAGTTTTGCTGCAATTTGGACCACAAAATTGGCACCACTCAGTCGCCTTGAAAAGACTTTATCATAATTCAAATCCAGGTGGACCTGCTCATAATTTTGACATATTTAAAGTGAGCTCTTACATGAATGCAAAACATTATTATTTTTTTTTTTTTCCAAAGCATCAATGGGTGAATTTGCTCCACAATTTGAAGATAAATACCTCTTACTAACCCAGTTCAAGGGCCGTACTGTAAGTTACGGACCGAGTTTTTCCCCATCGAGTTATGGCCCAAGCACGAAGCGCAGGGGCCATAAATCAAAGGGGAAAAACGAGGATCTGTAACTTACAGTACAGACCAAGAAAACGAGGTTAGTGAGATATTTGATATATCTCTACTGTGTGTCTGATGGCTCGGGAACGGTTTCTATTTATACCGGAACAGCTTCAAATTTCTAACACACCTCAAAAGCAAAACGACTCAATTTGAAATGATCGTTTGAAATCATTAGTAGGTTTCAACACACAATTTTGTTCTTTTACTTGCTAAAAAAGTTAAGAACACTTGTCGATAAACTACGAAACATTTTGGTAACAAAAACAGCTTTAAATTTTAGCGGGTCACACAGTAGATTACGGCCCCCTAAACTGACCAATCACAGCGTGCGTACTAACTGACAGACATGATAAAAGGGAAATAATAATTATGCATACTAAAACTAGCAAAATTCTGGCGTCTTTGACTTAAAACAAGCTCGGAGTTGTAGACAGTTTAAACAGTTGAGACAGTTTAGACAGCTCACACGGTGACTCACAAACTGCATGCAGTTAAAGTTGTTTGAACCGCTCATAAGGCAAGAAATAAAATATAAATGTAATCAGTGATTTATCACTACATTCTGAAATTTGAAGAATATGAGAGCAACCCATTTCAGTGCCACAATGTAAATGTCAATTTTTTAACCAATCATGCACAACAAAAGTGAGACAGCATTACTGTGTTAAATGTATGATATGGCCTGTTTGGTAAGCAAAACTATACTCTGTATTTTTTCCTCCATGCAAAATAGTGTCAATAACGATTTGATTTCAATTCACTTGACATGAACAGATTTGTATGCCACGGTGCAAAGATGGCTGTGTCCGATACCCTGGGGCTAGTGGACAATGCAGTCGGGCTAGTTGATTCTATCTCTCACTTGCCCTACGGGCAAGAGAAGATTAAATTGGGAAAATCTTTGAGGAAGTTCTTATTAAAGTGGTTTTCATTTGAGTGTGGAAAAGTAATTGGTTTTGCATTAATAGGTTTCATGATTGGCTTAAAAAACTTGGGCCACTTTTTCACCCAATCAGAATTAAAACTGAAACCAATCGCTAATACCTTGCACATGTCTTCCTATGTCTTGCATCAGTTACATGTGCAATGATTTACTATGATTTTTGATTGGTTCATTGGGTTGTCTGGGTCCTTTGTAATTGGCTAGAGTGATTATAGTACTTTGGTTTTGGTCTAATGACACTCATTTAAGGTCATTCCACTGAAATAGAACCTGCACTGAGATTTTTGGGAAACTTTGCCTATCGATTGTTTATATTATAGGAACTTAAATTTTGAAACAAAAATGAGGGGTCCCCATTTTCATTTAGGAGCAAAAGCACCTAGTTTATACCCATATAAATCCTTATAATAGCACCATGATTGTAGTTACGATTGCTTGCTAAATTCACGTTTCCGACAATTGCTTTTTGCTCTGCACTGAGAATTGGTCCATATGTATTTTACACAGAGAAATTTATTACTCAGTTCAAAACAACAGAAAAAAATGATAGGTCACCATACTTGTTTGCGAGAAAATGACGATTTACCTCTATGGCGAGGTCCAGCTGTAAAGAAAAAGCCGCCATTTTTTAATGTACGTGCGCTAATCACGCGTGAAATTATGCGCAGTAGGGATGCGCAATGCAATACTGGGGAATGACCTTAAAACTGCCCTTAGAGATGCAGTTATTGAATTGGTTTAATTTTGAGTCAATCAATCATACTACATGTATTAAGAATTTTTTTCAGGGTTGGGGTAGGGGTGGGGGTAGTGTGGATGACTCTCGGCCCAGTACATCATACAGTGGTACCTCAATTTAACAAAGTCCTCGACATAACCAGCAATATTCTTAGCCCTAGTAAAAGCAAAATATATGGAAAAGAACCCCAATATAACAAAACCTTGTTATAGCAAACAAATTTTGCCTGTTCCTTGGCCCTTCGTTATATCGAGGTTCAACTGTAGTTTAAATTAGCTTGCCCAAAGTTCAAGCTTGAAAATAGGTTTTCTGTGCAACCTGCGTGCCTTTACAAAATTTCTCATCAGAGAAACTAGACTGTTGCTAATCTTTCAGCTGTCGTGATGTTACTTCAAGAAGTTCAGCTGTTATTTTTTTTAACGCAGATATAAGAATCTTCGCTAACAACTACCAGAAGAAACTTGAAAATTCTTTCCACCAAATAACTTTTTCATTTTCCCAATCAAAAATCAACTAAAACAACATTTTGCTCCTGCTGAGGTCGAAAGAGAATTACACAGGAAGTAGCTTTTAGTTAGAAAACAATGATCGATCAAATTAAAACTCTTCAATTAAGCTCATATTTTTAAGGTTCCCCTTTCACTTTTTCTTAGTCCAAAATTCAACATTAATCCCTTTTTCCAAACAACTTACTTTGTCAGTCGATTGCTCCAGTACAGAATTCCAGGGCTGGTCTCTTTGAAAACCACAGCTCGACCAAGACTGTATTTAATCTCGGAAAGAAACTTATTGGACTCTTCATCTAGCCTGTCTTTGTAGGGTAAAAAACGATTGTAAACGATTTCCTTTTGCGGCTTGAAGTCCAACATAACTTTCAACTGGTGATCTTTAGACGATCACTTGCTAAACTGTTCCTTCTTCTAAGTGAGCATAACGTAGGAACAGATGAAAACTTTTATCAATGTAGGGTAAAAAGACGAACGATTTGGCTGATTTGCCGAATCACCGTTACAAAGCATGGCATTAGGTCAGCGGATTGCTTTTTAGGGTCATGCGAGTTACGCTTGCACTTGTACTTGCTTTCTCTCAAGCAGGGACTGGGCATCAATCTTTCCTATCTCTGATCAGTTTGATCGGGCATTTGACCAAAAAGAAAATATGAAGTAGTGTGAGAATGTTGTCTAAATGGTTTATTTTTCTGAATATGGATTGAACAAGTCGAAGCTCTCTTTGAAAAACTCCGTTTTCGCCCCCAGAGGACGGACTTGCAAGTAGACGCAAGTTGAAAACTTCGGTCTATACTTGCGACTCCGTTTGGCCAGGCCTGCCGTGCACTTGCGATGACTTGCGCTCACTTTGGTCGAGATCAAATTTGCACGCAAGTCAACGGACGTTTTTCACCGTTTGGCCACCCAACCCAAGTCAACACAAGTTGGGTGACGTCTATTCTTTGTCATAGCAACCTATTAGCCAGTGAAATAAAGATGTCTGCTTTGAAATGACTAAACCATTCAATAAGAGCACCTAAAGACCCTCAGGAAGTTTATAACTGGCTTACAGCAAGAGCATTTTAGTGAAGACAACTTAACAAAACATTCGATGAAGAGGGGTCCGTTGGCCGGGTTTTCGGTTTTTCAGTTTTGGTCATTATTTCAGTGCAAAAGAATTTCGCTTTTTGCAAAGAAAGGCATTAAAATATCCAGTTTTTCGGTTTTGGTTTCTGTTGAAGTTTTCGTCTTTATTTTCTTTTTCAGCAGTCGCTTTTCGGTTTTTATGTCCTAGTTCCTAGTGTTCTCTATTTCCCTCGGGTGGTCAGACAGCATCACACAGAAGTCGAAAATCGAGAATATTTCTTTTTTACCCAAAATAAGGAGGGGGCCCGGGCCCCCCGGGCCCCTTCCCTTAGATCCGCCACTGCAATAGTGTTCTACACGAATCAGGAAAAATGTTAGTTAGAATCATCTTCTCTATGCCTCTTAGTGAAGGGGAATGTTAGTTTGTATGGTTAAATGACGTAATTGCCTAGGGGGGCCGTTTGTAACATTTATTGCCGTTTTTGGAAAAATATCTAGCAGTTGAAGGGTTAATAGCGCATATAGGCTAAAAATGTAGTGCTATGATTTCAAATGAAATGTCTTATTGATATTAATAAGGAAAAGTGCACGTCAAATTTTGAATTTGCACTGAGTGCTTCAGTTTTCATCATTATGAGCAATGGTGTTTAGGTTTTGAGTAATATTTATGGCGATTTTTTAGGTTTTGAAAAACAAAATTGAGCGGTTTTCCGGTTTCTAGAGGGTCCCAATTCAAGGAATATGGATGTCACTTCGGGCCAGAATTTTGCCTCCGTCTATTTTAAATCCCCTTTGTTGCAATAGGAATCTGTTTAACCAATTGACTTCGGTGCCGCCCGTAACCGGCCGTGACGAGCGTTGGCCTTTGTGCCACTTCTGACTTCATCGCCTTTGACCAAAATTGGCATCATCTATACTCAAGTTCTGCAGGAGGAAAAGATCTTTTCAGTGATACCCAGATCAGAGTGATCGGCTCAATGCAACCTGAAATATGCACGAAAATACTCAGAAATTTGAGTGAAAAACTCACAGCAAAATTTCCTGCGATTACACTTAGTTACTCCAAGGTAAAAATTGCCCATCTCGATAATACTTTCTCAGAAATCTTAGAACTCGAAGCAAGCCCAGTAGAAGGTCAATCACTGCCGCAAAAAGATAAGAAAAGCAGAAAAAGGAATGGCGGAAAAAAAATTATAAAAACCGAAAAGCCTAAAGACGTAAGCAAATTTTGACTTCTGCTCATGCCCAGCAAAAATGTAGTAAAACGCGATGCTAGGGGAAAGAAAGGCATGCCGTCATGTTGCAAATGCCTTTTTGAGTAGATCAGAGGTAATTTGGTTCATATCCAGGCTGAAAACCTCCAAAATGTCCGAAAAATGCGTTTTTGGCAAAAAGATCCGGGAGTCACCTCTCCAAATCTACCCTTTGTTTGGTAACATTTAACCAGGGTAGCCATGTGCAAGGATTCCACAGGGGATACATGTACAGTTATGCAATAGACAGCGAGCAGTCTCTCTTTTGCTCGAAAATCCCTGGGGAAGAAAGCAAAACAAGTGAGCGTGCGAGCGTGACATGAGAGCTCTACGAGAGCTGCGAGTAGCGTGGGGGTCCAACGCGTGGGCGTCCGACGCCCGCGCTACTTACGGCCCGCTGCTTCGCATGTCACGCTCGCACGCTCAAATTGTTTGGCGTTCTTCCTTGCGTTCTTCTTCACGGATTTTGAGCAAAAGAGGACATGAGAGACTGCTCACAGTCTAGTTATGCAATAGATTATCAACCTGGGAGATTTGTGTTCAAGCAAAACAATCCAATACGTTGTTGCAGAATAGTAGCTCGAAAGGGGTACCTTTTTCAGGCTTCAGGTGTATAAAAGGGTAGGAGTTTCACAAGTTGAGGTATATGAAAGGGTAGTGAAATCTGTCATTGAGGTATCTCAAAAGGATTTAAATCAAAATATTTCGAACAGACGCACCTTACGGTTGTATCATCTAATAGGCCATTACCGAGTTGCCTTTTGCCTTTTGTGTCAAAACGAGACTTCGTTCGAAACAATTAATATGGTTCCCGCTACGTACAGGTTCATTTTCATCTAAATCAAAGTCATTTTCATATGAAAGGTTTTGCACGAGGACTGGTTTTAGAACAGAGGCACAAGGTAATTCGGAAATGGACTGTTTATTAAGCTTTACATCATTAACTTCATTTTAAAGGGTTAGGAAAAGAGATGCAATGTTCTTAAGTAGGTATACAAAAGAAATACCTTTTTTCGAAGCTAAGGAATGTATACTAGACGGGAACCTTTTCAGTCAGAATGGTATACAAAAGAGTAAGGGGTTGGAACTCTAAGCGGAGCCTAATCATATAAAACTTTGTTAGAGTACCTCCCCTGGGAGCCCGTGAAAGCCGACAGATAATCCACCTGTTCTTTGATTCTTTCACCTCTTTCACGGAAAATCCTTCTCAATTCTCAGGCATCAAGTGTCGCGCACGTCACACGAAACACTGTCATAAAAGAACTGAGCGGAAGCAGTTGTGATGTATACCAGGCATTTGAAGATACCAATTCCGCGACACTGCCCCTGGACAGACAAAACAAACAGCTGCAGTGGCCAGTATCGCGCTCCATAGGGATAAGGAAAATGTGCGAACAATGAAAATAAAAAAAAAGCGTTTCTTTCTGATTTTCAGATTCTGCTTAATTTGAGAAAGAACGCACATCAACCTTGTAAAAAAAAAAGCCTTTTTAAATTTCTCACAACTTGCTGTTATGCATATATTTTGAATTTTCTTTGCCAATAATACAGTTGTGTCAGATTTTTTTCTTGATAACACATTCTAATCCATCATTTTTAAAAAATGCGCGTTTTACGAAAAATGTTTGAAAAATAATAATAAACTGTTCCTCACAGTTCGATTGTTTATATATACAGGTACCATGTTAGGCTTATCTTCTTTGGCGCACTCGTAGAGTTCGCGATTTTTAATTATCCAATCACAGAAAATCGCAAGCCCACGGGAGTACAATACTCCGAGAGTTTTCACGCCAATACGGTTCGATCAGTTGCTAAGCAACTTCGACAGGTAAGCTGCGGGCTCATTTTGGACTCAACTAGTGCTTATTCTCTCGAGTGCATGATCTCAGCACGGCTCCTAGCACTTATAAAGAAATTTCTTAACGCTGGAGTCCAGTTTCCGCTTGGAGTGGCTTGGTATTCCAGGCGGTGCATAACTATGAAAATCAATGTCCTCCATAACTCCTTCCTCATGCATGTCTCTATCATCAACAAAGAGAGATACGTGTTTACCCCGAATTATTCTGAACGTCTGAGAACCCGGTTCTTTCCAGAATACTTGAACATGGCTTCTTCCCTTAGACTGTTTGTGGAGCGCCTCAATGTAATATTTTCTAGAAGATTTGAGTGCAATTTTCCTTGAAACTTGGATTGGATACTTTTTGAAATTATAAGGAGTTGTCCAGGCTGCGCCACTGGCCGAATACACGGCGGCGATCAATCGTGATTTCTTCGGGTTGCTGTCGGAGCTCAACCACAGCTCCGAGGTATCATCGGAAGTAATCGCGAACTCGTGAAAGCCCTGCTTTTCGGGGTGAATAAAACCGAATATTCTCTCTCCGAAGTCGCTTTCTTCCTGCTGCGATTTGAACTGATTCAAAAACTTTCGCATATAAGGAAAACGAGGAAACAGTGGAGAATGTCGAAGTTGTTCAACGTATGGTCCGCAAATCCCTTGCCATGTATGAACGTTTAGCTTTCCAGCCATGTTATCGGGAACAACTTGCTCGAAAAATGCCGACAGCAACGCATGTCCAGTGATTTCGTCTTCTCTGGGAGCAAAAGTTACTTTACCTGTTTTTCCAGTGTCAGGTTCGGGGGTTACGATTACGACTTTTCCGTCGTGATCCGAAGATTCTTCGTCTCTGTGTAATTCGATCGGATCGGAGTCGGCGGGTGGATCTCGCCTCCCCGAGTCAACGGCGAAAACAACGTCGGCAACTGTGGACCGCTTGGTAGCAGGAGCTTTTGTCATGTTCAGCAATGTTTCGAAAAACTCATTTTGCTCTTTGAGCAAGCGCATGTCTTTCCTAAATGCCATTGCAGGCGTGTTACCTTTAAATCCAGAATGCTGAAGAAACTCGTCGGCAGAAAAACTCCGATGGAGCAGAAAAATGACAATAAATGGGAAAATAATAATAGGTAGAGTACATAGACACCAAATAGCTTGCCCATCTCCCTTTTTGCTTTGCCGCGAAACCATCGAGAGATATCGCAGCTTCCTTCGCCCAGAACGAAAACAACTCCACGCCACACTGTTATCTTGATCTGTAAAAGCCTGCTCCTAAACGGAATTCATAGTGAAGCCATTCCGTAAGTCGTTGCCGATACGAGAAATTGCTTTGAAGCTTAGTGGCGACACACGAATGTAGCA